TCTGCAAACATGTCCCTGTCCGCAGCTTTATTATTCTAACCATAAATACACACTAAAATGTAACGTTTGTCATTTATCTCTACTACTACCATTAACCAATGACATTATGTATCTGTTTGATTGTCAATTATCATGCCTGGAAACCTGTTAAATAATACCATTACTCCAGCTGAATGAGAAGTTCCATGTGCAAAAAAAGCAGAATCGCCCCACTGACCTTTCCAAAACTTTTCGTCAGTCATAACAGAATGAGTCTCTTGTAAGAAAACACATTTTGATTTTTGTTCCTTGCAAAATAAAAAGATTGCTTTTCACTTAACACTGTTTTTAACCCCCGAACATTCAAAGATAAAAAAAGAACACACATAGGGTCTTCATAAAATATATAGATTCAAGATTCAAAGTGTTAATTGTCATATGCACAGTAAGGACACGCGTTTCCTTGCAGAATGAAATTCATTCTTTTCTGTCACCAATTAATGCTAAACAATATAAATCTGAAGTATAAAATAGATCAAAAAAGGATCATTCACACTAATCATAAATTCTATGATATCCTGAAACGCATTATATTCTTAGACAGTTATCGTACCATGAAAATCTCATACCTTGGCAGCCCTAGTGTGCTCAGATTAATTTGGCACAACAGTCATAATAATTTTGTTTAAATGGAAACTCAACTCCTGACATTAACTGCTGGTGTTCTTCATCACTGTTTTGGAAGAAGGAAATAATGGGAGCAACAGGGGGACCAGCTTTAAGAGTCACATTGTCTTTCTGAATAAGTGCTGTGCAGTGGATCTGATTTATGACAAATGGTTTATGTGGGTTATGAAAAGTAACTGATAAATATTTAAAGAAAATGAGAAAAGACTTTGGTGTGGCGGTTAGCCTGTACAGTCATGGGGGAGACATGAGCACAAGTCAAGAATCTCAGGTCCAACCCAAAACCACTAAACCACTAAATTATGGAGAGAAGTATCAGTGAGAGTCGCATTGATAAGTAGTATTGGTATCAATTCCTATCAAAAAGTCAAAACCTAAATAAAAACTATTCTGTAAGTTATTTATCATAACATTTGTTGGTGGTAATGCATTAGTCAGACATTGTGGGTTATGTTTGGCAGACATGCTTTAAATGTTATTTATGGTTTTAGTTGGCTCGCTGCACCGTGACAACTCATTAACTCTTTTTCTGTTTGTTGCTATAGGAACAGAGAGGAAGAGAGGAACTTATACGTCACCACCGTGACAAATCCTTCACAACATCTGGATCTTTAAAAATTCATCAAAGAGTTCAAACTGGAGAGAAACCATACAGCTGCGACCAATGTGAGAAAACATTTTTGCGCTGCAGTGCCCTCAAAGCCCATCAACGCATTCACATTGAAGGGGAACTGTCCAGTTTTTTCCAAAGTGGGAAGGATTTCACAGAGTCAGGGAGCTCAAAAAAACAAGACATTGACACAGCAGAGAAACTGTTTAGCTGTGATCAATGTGAGAAAGCTTTCACCACTCTACGTAGCTTAAAAAGTCACCACTGTGTTCACACTGCAGAGAAGTCACACTGCTGTGACCAATGTGGGAAAACTTTTTCGCAACGCACGTCCTTTGAAACTCACCAAAGAATTCACACAGGAGAGAAACCGTACAGCTGTGATCAATGTGGCAAAGCTTTCACACAGTTGAGTAACTTGACAACCCATCAACGCAGTCACACAGGAGAGAAACGCAACAGGTGTGGTCTATGTGGCAAAGCCTTTGCAAAGTCACGGGACTTAAAAATCCACCAACGTATTCATACGGGAGAGAAACCCTACAGCTGTGATCAATGTGGCAAAGCCTTTGCACAGTCAGGGGCCTTAAAAAACCACCAACGTATTCACACAGGAGAGAAACCCTACAGCTGTGATCAATGTGGCAAAGCCTTTACACAGTCAGGGGCCTTAAAAAACCACCAACGTATTCACACAGGAGAGAAACCGTACTGGTGTGATCAATGTGGCAAAGCCTTTGCACTGTCAGGGGCCTTAAAAAGCCACCAACGTATTCACACAGGAGAGAAACCGTACAGCTGTGATCAATGTGGCAAAGCTTTTGCACGGCCATGGACATTAATAAGCCACCAACGTATTCACACAGGAGAGAAACCGTACTGGTGTGATCAATGTGGAAGATTATTTGCCCGGTGCAGTACTTTGAGAACCCACCAATGCCGGCATGCAGGAGAGAACCTGTACAGCTGTGACTAGTGTGAGAAAGCTTTTATTGAACGGTATGACCTAGAAATCCACCATGTTCACACCAGAGAGAACCCGTCCTGATGTGACCAATGTTGGTAGTGACATTAAAGCCCACAAATGTGTTTACCCTGCATTGTTTTGGACATTTTCAGGGCCAGGCAAACATCTTCCTACTGCTTCCTCCCCATGCCCTGATAGCTGTGTTGATTTCTTACTTTTGTCTTTGATTATTTTTATCTGTTTTTTATTTCAACTGTAACCCTATGTTGGACCACCAGATTCCTCCCTGTAGGACTCCCTTGTGTGAGAGCTGATCACAAACTTTTCATAATCAATCATGCAACTGTCCGGGGCAATGTTGCGGCTCACAATGCACCCGACCCTGAAGCGTATCTCTGCGACTGGTGAGCCCACAGGATGGTGACTCCATGTTGATCTTTGGGACTGTGCCCCACCGAGCCCCATGAGTCAAGTCCATGTAGATATATATAGGCTGATTGACCAAATAAGCATTTGAAAACTGATATTGATGCCTCTTACCATGACTGTGATCAAAGTATTTGCATCAGCCTGAGATCTCTGTCACAGACAGGCTCTGCAGTCTCAGACGCTGACTCAACATGCTGAATGAAATGTTTAGTGACTTGACTGATTTTTGGTCCCGTGTGCAGCTTCCTTCTCTAGCCTGCCTCCAGAAGGGGGCTCTGTTTGTGTTGTCATGGCGAGGTGCTCCAGGTCTGATCCATCATGGTCTGTTGACGCACCGTTAGTCTGGCTCAGGGGCGATTCTAGGATCAGAGGTTTAGGGGTGCTGAGCACCCAGAGAGCTGCCCGGCCAGGCAAAATAAATTTCACTGTTCTGTACATTGTAACGCAATGTCATTCCCACATTTGTGAAAGTAAAGCACAACACTTTTTGGGAAAGTCTGTGACTAAACCATCAAATCTGATAAAGGTTATTTAAATTCTGAGCTACAGCAAAAGAGGAATGGATTGGAATCATAAAAGAAACATATGGTAACCCTAATTTCTGGGGGAGGATAACTCATTTTGATACAGCAGCTCCTCAACATACACATAAACAGTATGTATGTTTCTGGAGTAAACCAGCCCCCTATAGTGAGTACCAAACATACCAAAAATGGACCTTGGGCTTATTTTTTGGACTTCTATTTGAAATGCAATGTACAACATGTAACATTAACAGTAATTGACTTTTTCAATGTTTGTCTCTGCCTTTTTTTTCTTGTTTGTATTATATAATACATACATATACAAATACATAAATAAAAATACACTTCAAAAAAGAAAAGTGCTTGAAATCTACAAAATAATAATAATAATAAATACACACAATAGGAGTCATAATGTTAATGGGCATCCACTCAGTTAGCTAGTCAGTAGCACCTTGGCTTTAATATTAACACATGCACATGACACAACAGCTAGCTTCTCTCATTCCAATTCAAACAGAGTTCAGTGGTACTGACCACCTGTAACGTTTCCTAGCTAGAAAAAAACATTAGCTAACTCCTACCTAACAACATAAACAGTGACCTACGATGAAATGCAGCAAAAATGAGGACTGGTAATGATAGTAATGTGTTGGTATTGAGTGGTAGGAGTTAGGAAATGTGCCACATATCCTGGTTTAAGCCAGGTACTTACACCACTACTGCATATCACCCACTCTGGAAGGCAGCGGGAAAGGTGGGAGGGATAGGGTCGATCAAACCATTTTTGGTTCCTGGTGTTTGTCTTTGCACCTGTCACAGTCTCACTACTAAAGCTCAGACGCTTCTCAGGATCAGCTCCACAGTTTCACTGACACTTTTTGGTGCTGAATTCAGGAGTGCAAACACCTCGCTTTTTTCAGCAGATGTTTTTTGTCACATCAGTTTAGGCGACTTGTGTGAACTCTCCAGATTCTGAGAGGCTTTTTTGGGGGTGGGTGACAGATCATTGTCGTCTCTCTGGACTGTGGCTGATACGGCAGCAAACACATGAAAGTTTGTCTTGTTGGCTCAGACAGAAACAGAGGTTAAGGTTTTATCTGGTTATCTGACAACTTCAACAAATATAATGTGGAAGAGATGATTATGTGTGGATACGATAAAAAGAATCAAAGTTAAAAAAAAAAAGATTACATCAGACCATATGATGATAAAATGAATAATTTATTGTATATAAAATAAAAAGTAGGGATACACCATATTGGATTTTTTGCCAATATCCAACATGCCAATATAAAACAGCTTATTTGGCCAATACCAATATCGATATACCGTATTTTTCCAAATAGTAACCCGGGCATTTATTTCACAAAATCGATTTTGAACCCAGGCATTTAAAAGAACCTGGCGGCTATTTGCTCAAGGCTTTAATTTTTATTTTTTTTGCACGGACCTGCACCAGGCCATTATTTGGTTACAGTTCCTGTCCAGTATGTTTTTTAGTGCAAAAATACTGTATAATGTAGGGGTGAGTTCATGTAGAAAAATCTCTAAACGTTTTGAGTGGGTCATTTTTTTTGTGTACACGTGTACATGGATTTCACCGCTGGGTGGTGCTATTGCATTATACCAGTAAAGCCCCAGTTATCCGAATACCAACCGAACGGGCCATTTAACCAACAGTTACAGGCCGCCACACCGAAATATCGCCATTCTGACTGTCCGCCATCCCGAATTCTGATCCCTGAGTCCTGACAGTAAGCTATGGCGAGCCTGTAGAAGCTGTATTCCTCATGCATGTCAGAGATTTTCATCGGGGACGCATGCGAGTAATTCAGGCTAACATTACCTGTTTTTCAGCAAACTCCTCTGGTAAAGGCATGGCATATAGGTCCACAGTAACTTATTATTATTATTATTATTATTATTATTATTATTGGGTCTTATAAGAGTGGGCTACAATGAGTACCGGGCCATCAAATCGGATATTTGATGTGGGAAAGATGTAGCCAGATGTATTACCTGTTTTAGATACGTGGCTGTCCGTCCGTCTGTAGCACGAGTCATGTGTACCACTTCACCACCGATCCGTGCGTAAAAGCGCAAACAGTCCCTCAAATGCAACGAGGCAATGAATGAGGAAATAATTGCCCCAGTGTTTAATACGCAAAATGGGGTCAAACCCCCTGTAGCTATTAGGTGCCCGGCAGCTATTTGGAAATATATGGTATCCACTTTTTCCCCACTTATTTTAGGGGATCATCAGGTCTCTTCTGTAGTGGAATAAACATCATATTAAGCATGTATACTCTTATCATGATGGCCCACCAGCAGATGGAGACACAAAATACAATACTTTAATGTAATATTCATTCATTGTGCAGAATAAGAAAAAGCATGTTGGCTGATTCTGGTTCATTTTAAAGATATCGGTCAATACTGATGATGTGCCAATATTATGGGATATCCCTAATAGAAAGGATTATAGGTGAGTGACTGAGTACATGAGGTCATTATTAAATGTGGAGTATATGAGCATGTTAATCAGTTAGTATAAGAATGTGTGTGTGAGAACACACAGTGTAGTATGGCGGGAAAAATGTCATTGTATAGTGTGCCAGAAAAATGTCAAAGTGCATCATGCTAAGAAAAAAATGACATAGTATAGAATGGCAAAGAAACATCATAAAATAATATGTAAGAAAAAAGTCAAAGTATACGGCAAAAAAAATCTTAGTATGCCAAAAATGTTTAAGTACAGCATGCTAAAAAAAGACATAGTATAGTATGTAAAAAAAACAATCTTTGTATAATATGACAAAAAAGTCACAGTGTAGTATGCCCAAAAATGACATGGTACAGGGTGCCAAAACGTGATCGTGTAGTAAAGAAAACAAAGTTTTGTGAAAGCAAAACAAAATCAAAAACACAGTATTCACCAAAATGACACCATTTATCAGCCAGAAACTGTAAAAACAGAAATCATTGTTAGATTTTCAAATTTCCGACTACAATTGGACGCATCACGTGTGACAAATGCTTCTGTAAAAACATTTAAATAAATAAATGTGAGCTTGAAATAGTGATATTGAATAAACTGTTTGTACGAACTGTTAATTAAACTGAGGCTTTTTTTCAACTCCAGGTTTCTGTCTTCAACTTTTAACTTTCAGACATCAAAAGCTAAGTTATAAAAATCTATTATATGGTGGAGGGAGGTTGGTGGATTTTCCCCCAGTAACTCAGGGAGGCTCGAGGAAAAATATTTGGAGCTTCAGGGAGGGTAAAAAA